TAGCTCTTTTCTCTTCTGCTACAGATTTTTTTTTTAAAAAAATCTTTTTGTATTTTTAGGGAAGGGTCTACAGGGTTCACAGGGTCTCACTGCTAGATCGGACTCAAACAATCCGCCTGTTTACAGCCTCTCAAGATCTGGGATTACAGGTGCACGCCTCCACACCGAGTCTCAATTGCCATCTCAGTGTGCCCTGGGGGCTGGGCCAGCACAGCAGGCGCTGAGACTGAACCCTTGTCCACTGAGCTATTTGGCAGGCCCTCTCTTTTCTGTTTCATTGCACTTGAATCAGTGAAAAGGCCGGCCTGGGCACGTGGGGAAGTGTTTTTCTGGAGGAGACAGAGATGCTCGGCAAAGCAGCCCTCCAAACCTCGCACACCTCTCGCCATTGCTCTTCTCATGGGGTGCCCCAGGAGGCTGGGATCGCAGGCTGCATGAAGGAAAAAGAGCCGAGTTACAAACTCTTGCCAGTTTATTTCCTACTGGAATGCTCTGGATTCCTCTCCTTCTAAGTAAGAAACTCTCTTAATTTTTTTTCTCTTACATTTTTAGCTTGGAATTTTTGAACCCTTAAGATAATGTTTCTTGCCCTGGGGTGTATGTACCTAAGAGGCATCAATTTTGGAAGCGTATGAGGCTTTGGTGTTGAATAGGAGTTTGCTCATGAAAGCATTTGGTATGTGGTAGGTATGTGGCACACTTTAGTTGCTCTTTCCCGCCAAATCTTTTGTAGTGGAGAAATCCTCTGTTTCTTCCACCACTGTCTGCCTAAACCCTGTGGATGCTGCTAAAGAGCAATGTAGAAGATTTCTATGAGAGAGGATCCAGATCAGGAAGGCCTGAGAAACCTCTGCATTCATTAATAAAATTAAAGGATAAACTCTCAAATCAAAGTAGCCACCAAAGCGCTCTTCTCTAAAGTGCCCACCGTAGGGCCCCATGCATTCCAACTAATATTGAAGTGGGTAAAGTAATAACTTCCCCTTGCCTTAGACATGCAAGGGAGAAGGATCGACTGGTAGTAGTTTTCTGGTGCGGCTCTCAAAGGCAAACATGGGTGAAGTTGAAAGGTCCTGCTCAGGCACTAGAAAGAAACGCCCACGAGCTCTCACATTCTCATATGTAATCCAGGGACTCAGAATTACCAGGGGTATTGTGGAGTGCAGATTACTGAACCTGAGCTAGATTAGCTAAGTACATTGGCAATGATGCTAATTTTAAAGTTTTTAATTGACACGTAGTACTTGCATATTTATCAGGTGTGTGGATACAGTGTGTAAAGATAGGATCAGAGTGTGTCTATCATCTTGGATGGATTTTTGAGTTGGGAATATGGGGAATCCAACTAATATCTGTCATCAATCAGAGTTGCTCCACTGTGCTACAGAACACTAGAAGTCAGAGTTCCTATCCGACTTCAACCCACAAGGACCTCGTTTCTAAGGAAGGTATTGGAAGTTGAGACTTCAGGGTAGACTGTGGGGACCCAGAAGTGAACCTGGACTTTGTCCTAGTGCTACAAAGTGCCGTCATGTGGCTTTGGTGTCCAGACCCCCAATAACTAATCACCCTGAACACTTAAGTGCTCGCTGGCCAATTTTATATCCTCTGCAGAAAAACAAGCAATAAAAGCCACTGCCTATTTGCTTAATTAGGTTCTCTTTTTATTTTCATGTTGCAAGAGTTGTTTCTTATTCTGGATGCCAGTTTTAGATCAGAAACAAACTCATGCTATTTTATCCCATCTTGTGAGTTTTCCCCTTACTGTCCTTTGAAACGCAATAGTTTTCAATTTTGATGTCAAGTTTTTTTTTCCTTTTGTTTCTGTGTTTCTAGAATGACAGCTAAGAAAATATTTCCTCATATAAGACTGTGAAGGTGTTTTACTTCTATTTTAAAAATAAATTTGGTCAATACTTAAAAATTTTTTTCAACAATTATTTCTCTAAAAACTTTTCCTTCCTCTTTTTCTCTTCTTCTTCTTCTTCTTCTTCTTCTTCTTCTTCTTCTTCTTCTTCTTCTTCTTCTTCTTCTTCTTCTTCTTCTTCT